CTTTTTTTATTTTTATTTTTAATTTAAAAATTGAAATAATTTTTTCAATTTAATATAATAAATAAATTTTATTATATAATATATTAAAAATAATTTAAATAAATTTAAATATTTATTAATAAAATTTATTATTTATTAATAATTTTCATATAGTAAATAAATTTTATAAATGCTAAATAATTGAAAATTTTATTATATACTACTTTTAGTTTAATGTTCTTAATGATTTTTTTTATTACAATTCCTTTTATTGTTATATTACTTTTACATACAAATATATATATATATATCTTATAACTGATTTTAATATCTTCATTATAATAACTAATATCATTTTTCTCTGTTGTTTTTAATTTTATTAAAATTAATCTCATTGTTCATTTAAATGGATTTTAAATTTGTTCATGATTCGTCAAATCCATAAGTCTAATTCAACTTGAGTTAGTTCTAAAGTAAAGTTTTTTGAACTCTAATTCAACCATTAAGGAAGCATTTAGTTTGTAAATTCTTAGATACCGAGAAGGTAAGTGAAAGTGATAGTTAGAAGGAATTGAATATTCCTGTGTTTTATTGATTTTAAGGAATATAGTTGACCTTAGAGAATATAAAAGTTTTATGTTTAGTTTGCAAAATCTAATATTACTTTATGAATTCTTTAACTACATTGTCTTTAATCACACATGCATAACGCGCGACATTCATATAATTATTTGTTTAACATTTTTATAATATATTTAACACATGAATACCTGATAAAAATAATAATATGATATATGAATAATATAAATTAATTTTACGATCATACTTACATTAAGTTTCTATAATTTATTAATAAAATAATTAGTAGATGTAATTTATTAATGGCAACTTGATGTGTGTTTATGTGCATCGACAATATGTGGGTTGGGTTTACTTTTCTTCAAACATCCTATTTTTGATACTTTTATGGAATAAAAGATGGAATAACTAATGTTTGTTTATGACGACCGTCATTTATTATGGAATAAATGACGAATATTATAGACAAACATTATCAATTTCATAAAAAAGATGAATAAATAAATAAGTAAATATGCAAAGTGTTTTATTCCATATTTATTTAACATGAAAAGTGTCACATATTTATTTTATATATTAAACAACTTGTATTGTTAAATTAATAAATAAACAATTTGTTAGCTTAAAAACTTGAAATAAACCAAAAAGGGAGGTAAATTGGTTGATAATAAAATTTTCAAAAATCAATACCCAATAAACATAAATTTTGCAAAACAATTTTTCTAAGTAAATGAACACAATAAGTGAAAGTAAACTAACAATCTTAAAAACAAAAGATAGAGATAGATAATTAGACATCAAGATTTATAGAGGTTCAATCCTTCCTTTAAGCACTACATCCTCTCCTTTAATTTCACTTGCCAAGGAGTTCAATCCACTATATGTTGAAAGTTACAACCTAGCTTCTCAAATCTTTACACTATCAACACCACAAACTCTTGAGAGTTATCCTCTCCCTTAAGCTCACAATCTTTCAATATAAAGTTTCTGAAATGTTTTGCAAACTTAAATAACCTTTTATAAGGTTGAGTGTTTGCTAACTTGAAATACATAACAATATTGACAAAATGATTAAGAGAAAAACTAATAAAATAAAAGATTTTCTACATTTTTCTCTCTTTGAACTAGTTTGAATGCTTGAAAAAGATCGTTGGTGGAGGTAATAAGTTCTCTTAGCTTTTCATACTGTTGATTTACAGTAAAAGCCTTCATTTATATGTAAAAAAAAGTAGATAGCCATTGCTTTGCATTTAATGCTTCAAACCTACAAAATATTAAACAAGAAAATAGTCATTGGGGCTTTTTAAGCATTAGGAGATCGATCCCCTCATGTAGGGGATCAATTGGGTCAGTGATGGGAAAGCTCAATTTCGTGCGAGAAAACACCTACCCGATCGATCATGTAGCATACCTGATCGATCCTATGCATAGATGATCTATCCCCTATGTGGGGGGATTAATCCTTTTTGTTGATTTTCGACCCAACTTTGCTTTTTGTATAAAAAATAGATCGATCCCTTTAAGGGAGGGATTATCTAGTAAGTTTCAAACACCGACCAATCGATCTCTACAGGGAGGAGATTGATTGATTCTTGATAAAATTCCAGAAGTTTGACTTTTATAAGAAAAATAGATCGATCCCTTTGGCTAGGTGATCAATTGGGTAAGGGAAGAGATCGATTCCTCCATTTAGGGGATTGATCCCTTCTATCCAAAATATGCCATAAACCGATTTTATTTCTAGAATTTGTTTGTTTCAGTTCCTAAATGAATTTTGGCAAGATAGAAGGTTGAAAAAATGTTCAATTTGAGATTAAAAGAATTTAATTCAAGTTAGGCAAATTTTTATTTTGTCAATTCTAAACATCTAATCAATTCAAGGTTAACATAATTTAACATGTAAAAAGTTCTTGTCATAATATACATATGTTAATGATATGCATAATATATATAAGAGTAAATAGCATCTATGGTCCTTAAACTTTTGGTCAAATTCTATTTTGGCTCTTAAATTTTAAAAAGTTCTAATAAAATCATCAATTGCCCAAACATATACGAATGTAGTCTCTTTATATACTGGATCGTTTTAATTAACAAAAAATCCCACTTGGCATGACACATAACCTTTAAAAATTTTAAATACATGGAATGTTAAAGTTGGCTTAAACATATGTAATTAAAAAAACTTGGAATTAAAAAATAAAAATATAAATCAAAACTTAACACGATCAATGACAGAATATTAAACTAGCTCAACAAGAATTTGTTTCTCACCGACCAGTTGAATGCATGTAAACCAACTCAACACATGTATTAATTCATGAAAGAATTTAGCACAAATTCATATCAATTTATTACTTATATATATTTACTAATAAAAAGAATTGTAAACCAAGAAAACTCTAAAATTTTCATGGGATTCAATTTTTCTAATGCAAAAAAAAAAAAAAAAACCTTAAGTTTTCTGTAATCATATCCAGCAAAAAAACTCCATTTTTATGGATAATAAGAATAGCTTATAAAATTCGAACACAAGACACCATAAAATAGGAACTAAAAGGCTATTTTTGCTATCTTAAATATCAACAAATACCATTAACCCATCACCTAGATCTAAAACAAATGAAAATGATTTCATCAATTTCTTTTCTCTGAATTTCCTTTTACTTTTTTCTTTTTATTTTAAAAGGGACCAAGAAGAAAATGGAGGAGAAAGGTCTTTAAAATCTCAATTGGAAAAGAGTTGGATTAGCCCTAACAGTGTCAAATCTGATCCATTGCATTTTGTTCGACGAAGGTCGAGCTGTTGCTAAACTCTAGTTTTTGGTGCAAGTACTGGAAATGCCATATGCTACCTTTCCAAATGGTTGGCCATCTCTTGGTTGTTGGAGGAAAAAGGGACTAAGAGGAAGAAAGGAAGAAAAGAATAGGAAAAATAAAATAAAATCAAGTTATAATGGAGTGTTGATTCAGGGTTTCTTTTGTTTTTAATTTCACATCTCTTAATTATATATGTTTAAGTCAACTTTAAAACTTTATGTATTTAAATTTTTAAAGGTTACCTGTCATGCCACGTGAGATTTTTTGTTAATGTAGATGGTTTAGCAAATGAAGGGACTATATTGATACACGTTTGGATAATTGAAGACTTGATTAGAATTTTTTAAAATTTAGAGATTAAAATAGAATTTGACTAAAAATTTAAGGACTATATATGCTATTTATTCTATACATAAATGTTTTTATTATAAACATTTGTTTCATTTCAAATAATTAGAATAATATTGACATAATATACATACGTTAATAATTTTTATTATTATATTTTTATTAAATAAAATAAAATAAATTATAAAAAACTTAATTAAGAAATAAATTAAAATAACTAATTAATTTTTATTTTTATAAAATAATATTTTTTCATGCGGATGTCAGATGTCAAATGTCAAATGTTGAGTCTTTAATACCTTTGTGCATGTTATATTGAGTTTTGGTTTATGGTGCAATTTTAATAATATTAAAAGGTATAATAGATGCTAAATATCAATTACTTAAAGTAAAAGTGGGATAAAATTTATATTTCATCGAAAGTCTAAAAATCCCTTAAATGAGATAAGGGTTTTTTATTTTGTGCTATTGTTTCCCTTCATAGTATTGGTAATCTTAAAAAGTTCTAAAGAATTAGAATTCATGAACTAAACATAAGAATCATATCATAAAAAATTAGATTATTAAAAAATCTCAAAATCCACAAACTAAACATTTATAAAAGAATTTAAATGATTTAATGGATGAGTAATTAGAGACTTAGAATAATATTTTCAAAAGTATTAAAAGAGAGACTTAGATCAACATATTTAAAAGTATTAATTGAGTTTGTCTCGATTCATGAACGCTTTTAATATTAATTAGTTAACAAATCAAAGATTCAAGAAGAAATCTTTTCAAAATTCATACACTTTTAAGCGATAATTTTGGCAATGTAAACTAAATTACAAAGTTCATAATATATACTTTTACAAATAAATTAAGTAATAAGCAGACAAGTTCAATCTCATGTGAGCTAATTTGATAATGAAGATCCCTTAAAAAATAAGATTTTTTTTTTATAAATATATTTATTAATTTAATAATTTAATTATATTTTATTATAAAATAAATAAATATTACTAATATTTTATAAATTATTATCTTTACAATTTTAAAATTATTAATTTGTTTAATGGTTGCAATAGATACGATTATTTTTTAACTTAGAAAAATAATATTTAATTTTTAACAATATTAAAGACAAAAATATTTAATTATTAAAAATTAATGATTGTTAATTAAATAAAATAATTTTAAATTAAAAATATTAAAATTATCTTGATAATAAAATCACTCCATAATTATATGATCATGCAAAAGATACTAAATATTATCTTCATTAATTAATAATAATAAGCCAACTTGTTTTTGTTTTTAATAATTCACTCCAATTAAAAAAAGGCCACGGAACCTAACTCGATGGGCCTGAATCTCTCCAATCACAACTCGGTTCGAAATTCAACCTGACGGTGGTGAAGTCAAGTCTGGCAAGCTCTATATAGAACAACGAAAATGAAAAATGAAAAAAAAAATATAAAAAAACTAAAATTAAAAAAGAAATCCGGTAATTCCTTAAAAAAAAATCCCGTAATAATGCAATCTAAGGGAACCGCCAGCAAAGTCAAGACTCCGATTTTCTCTTTTATCCTACGCGCTCCTCGGTTCTCGTATTCTGCCTACCTTTCTCCGGTTTCACCGTCTCAGATCTCCAACCCAACCAATACGGTCGGTCTCTTATTGGAGTGATCCAAGTATAAGTGCTTGCTCCACTTCTTCGGCGCCAAATTTCAGGTGATATTTTATACTATATTTTTTTAAAATTTTCTTTGATTCTAATTGTACCTTTTGATTAACATGCATGCGGATCAATGGCACTAGTTAATTTTACGGATTCGTGAAACCGTTTGATTTTGGAAAATTATGATCAAAGAAAATGGGTTGTTATTGAGCGTGAAATTATTCTTCCCCAAAATTTGACCTTATAAGTTATAATTCGTTTGGTGAGTGGTTGATCTGCTTGATTGAGTGGTTGAACTTTCATTTACAAGAAGATTTAACTTGGAGAAGCGTGCATCGTTGTACTCGGAAGAGTTTATTGAATAAAATTTGTGATCATATCCGGATTTTAAGCTACTTGGAACTGAATTAGCGTGCTGGGAAACTTTTAGGTGTAAAAAGTTAAAAAGTTGGTGAAATTGTAAATTTTTGCCATTTTTTTTTTGTTTTACTAACAGTTGCCCCAGCTAAATACATTAACAAACTTTATGCCCAATATGTTTTCATGGATGTGCCATTTTAAGTTGGTTTTGAGCGTGAATTCCTTGTGATTTCATTGGATGTTTGCGTATGCCAGGCTGCATTTGGATGATCCAATGAAAGGTTTAACTCATCTTACCTCTCGTCTTATAGGGGATGATATGTGTAAGAATGAAATGCTGTAATTCCATGAATCTACGGAATTGATCACATTTGCATTCCTAGAGGTTTTTTTTTTTTTTTCTTGTTCTGCACATGCCAGATTCAATATCTTGAATGGAAATTTTCGTTATGCAAAAGATAAGGGAGTCTGCTTTGGAACCAGCTATTTAGATTTAAAGACCAAATTAGGTGAAAAAAATATGTTATGTGGTTTAGAACACTAAAAGATATGCCTCACATGGACATATGGTAAGAGACAATCAGAGGATTTTCAGTTCATTTATATCTGGACCACTACCCACACATAGTGGAAAAATCAAATGCATTTTGTTTCTGCTTTTTGTCCTTGCTATTACTTTCTTCTATCTAACCCAATACTTGTGCTCTGCTATTTGTAATTTTGTTGTATTAATTAGCAGCTTCTATACCTGCCATGCATGTAAAACTTGTTGTTGGTTAAGCTGTTTTTTTTTTTTTTTATTTAACCGAGAAAAAAGTGAATTATCTTTTAACATTTGTACTTACTCTTATGCTTCCTTAAATTTTTAGATTTGTATTTTACAAATTAGAGATAATTCTCAAGGGATTGAACCATGAGTTGTTTTGGCTGTTGCGAAGAGGATGATATCCACAAAGCCACAGATAATGGAGGCCAATACATAGCTAAAAACTCAACAGGTAATCCTTTGGTTAAACTTCACAAAAAAAAACTCAGCAGGTAATCCTTTGGTTGAAATTCACATCAGCTGATGCCTGATAACATTTCATCTCTCTGAATTCACTGGGATATTTCTGGATCATCAGTATGGTGAACTAGTTGAATGGAGCATGATAAGTAGGAATGCATGACCTCCTTTGGTGTTTATGCCCTTAGACAGTTGGAGTTTAATTGTAATTTGTTTATTAGCTTTATTTCTTAGCTGTTAGATTTTTATTAGCAGGATATATATCTATATACATACACACACGCGCCTGCAAACACACACAACCATATATACATATATGCCATTCTTTTTTCTGCCTAATTTATTTTGCTACATATTTTCTTTTGCATTTTATGGTTGGCTTTGCCAAGTGTTGGCTGCACTGAATCTATTTGTCTAATCTGGGTTGAATTTGACCACAGGAAATGATGGAGGTTACCATACATCTGAAACCGCATCAAAGAGTGCTCAAACTGTGAAGGTTCAACCTATTGAAGTCCCTGCTATTCCAGCAGATGAATTGAAGGAAATCACAGATAACTTTGGGACCAATTCTTTGATTGGAGAAGGTTCATATGGTAGAGTTTATTATGGAGTTCTTAGGAGTGGGCAGGCTGCAGCAATAAAAAAGTTAGATGCCAGCAAGCAACCTGATGATGAGTTTTTAGCCCAGGTTCAGTTGATAGCTATAATTCATTGCATTACTGCATCTCGATATTAATTTTAGAGTTTCAGATTTATATCCAGTGGTGCATGGAATTTTCAGGTTTCCATGGTATCAAGGTTGAAGCATCAAAACTTTGTTCAGTTGCTTGGTTACTGTGTTGATGGGAGCTCCCGTATACTTGCCTATGAGTTTGCATCTAATGGATCGCTTCATGATATTCTCCATGGTATGTGTGATGATGCTTTATTCATTGCTTCAGTTATACAAAGTTGAAAACCATATATAGGAGTGTAATGATGCTTTCAGAAAGGATCTCTTTGTGGTGCTATGATAAAATTTAATTATAAAGTTTCTTCCTCTATTGGAAACAAAATATCTGGTTTGTAATTTTTTCTTGTTGTGCTGTTAATATTGCAAGATTAATATTCCTTTAATGCAGGGAGAAAAGGTGTTAAAGGAGCTCAGCCAGGCCCCGTTCTGACTTGGGCACAAAGAGTAAAAATTGCTGTAGGAGCTGCAAAAGGGCTTGAGTACTTGCATGAGAAGGCTGATCCTCACATCATTCATCGTGACATAAAATCCAGCAATGTGCTAATATTTGATGATGATGTGGCAAAGATTGCAGACTTTGATTTATCTAATCAGGCTCCTGATATGGCAGCCCGTCTTCATTCCACTCGTGTACTTGGAACATTTGGTTATCATGCTCCCGAGTAAGTAATTTGTGAATTCTATTCGTACTACTATCTGTTATATTTATTTTGTCAAAGGTCATTTTGGTTGTTGATAACATGTGGCTTTGGACAAACTTAGTTGATGAATCAATCATGAATTGCTCTTTGGAACATAAAATAGAGTAGCTTTTCATTTGATTACTGAGATGTTTCAGGGAACAAGCATAAGGTTAATATGCAAAATTTCTTCTTCTATATAGCTTGATTTCAGATTGAATGCCTTGAAAATTGATTGTTCTGTACTTGTGGTTGGCAGATATGCAATGACTGGGCAATTAAATGCCAAGAGTGATGTATACAGCTTTGGTGTTGTGCTGCTTGAGCTTCTGACTGGGAGAAAACCTGTTGATCATACTTTACCCCGTGGACAGCAAAGTCTTGTGACATGGGTACTTTTCTGCTACTTATTTTCTTATTTCCAGCCTTTATTTCATTGTTAAACTTTTGAGACATGGCTAATTAATGAGAATTTTCAATTGTGTTAGGCTACACCGAAACTTAGTGAAGACAAGGTTAGGCAGTGTGTTGATCAAAGACTAGGAGGAGATTATCCTCCCAAGGCTGTCGCAAAGGTATTAATATGCTTGGAGGCTCCTTGTATTGTCTGTTTTTATTAGTGTATTTTCTCTGTTAACATTTCTCCTTCCCACAAGTTTTAAAGTAATGCTGATTTTAAGAGGCTGCATTGATCTAAATACATTTTTAATATGGTATTCTCATTTACTAGAAAGGAAGAAAGAGGTGGTACACATCGTGTACATTGGTTATTAAATTTGATTCTATATGCCCCCCCCCTCCTCCCCTTTTTGAAAATAAAATTTTAAGCTTTAAGAAAAAGTATACCACATAGGCAGTAAGATGCAAGGCTAGATGAAAAAAGATGTAATTTGACAGCACCAGAGAGGTGTTTTTGTGTACAAAGATAGTTTCTTTTTGGACAATTGACATCTCCCAGTAGGATTGGTGGAGAGTAGTAATTACTTATTTTCCGGTGAGATGAAATGAAAGAGAATTGGAAAAAAGAAATTTCTTTTGGATGGCGTCTCGAGCTCTTCTCAAATGCAACATTGTTTTAAACCTTAAACATATCTTGGCCTGACTTTCCAAGACTGGTGCCCTCATTGATTGTCAATGTCATCTGATGTCCGTGCCTAAAGCATTATTGTTTTGATTGCAGTTGGCGGCTGTTGCTGCATTATGTGTGCAATACGAAGCTGATTTTCGGCCAAATATGAGCATTGTTGTCAAGGCTCTTCAGCCCCTGTTAAATGCCCGGCCTGGGCCTGCTGGTGAAACACCAAGCACATAACTATATATATAGTCTCTATTTCTCACAGTCCTTCTCTTTGTATCTCTCTGTGCCTGTGAGTGCGGAAGTGTTCACACATTCAAGCATCCAAAATATATAATGGATAATTTTAGAAGGTGATGATAATTTGTTTATTCAAAGTTCCGTGTGCATCCATTATATACTCTGTATTCAATTTGTTCATAATGCGTGAGGTTGCTTTTTCTTGCATATATTTTGATGGTCTTTTTACTTATATCTGATAATTTATATATTCGTATCATGTTAAATATTTGACAATTTGTGTGTTTATAGTGTTTTACATGAAAATTGTGTTATAATTTGCTTTGATACGAAAAATACAAACTATTATTTTTTGTTTTTTAAATTTATATATAATTTTTGTTAAAATTATAAATTAAGTCATCTTCGTATCTTTTTTTATATTGTATTTATCTCACGTTATCGATTCGAATTTTAGATAAACAAGTTAATTCCAGCTTATATATTTTTGTCTAAATTTAATCTTTACCTTTCTTTCTTTCATGAGATTGTTATATTTTCCTTTGCTTTCAAATGTTTATGGACCTTGGATTGCTTGGATTACAAGAAAACACCATGAAGGAAAGAAAAGGGCTCCTAAGTATTCGAAGAAAGGAATGTGAAATAGTTAAATCGGTTGCTTTCGCAGTTTTCTTACGTGGAGAATGATGATGTGCAAATGTAACTTTACAGGTGGAAAGGACAGGTTCAAATGCTAGAACATTTGAGAAAAGAATAGTGGGATTCGTTGGGTCGCTTTTGGTATGCTTTTCCCATCTAGTTGACTACACCACTTCAATAACAAAAGTGCGAGTTAACGAGTAATAATTGACAAAAGCTTTACTTGGGCCCGGCTATAGTAATAATTTAACTAAATCTTTACCCTGTCTCATTAGGTCAGCCATTTTACCTTTTCTGATATTAATTAATAGTTTAATTTAATACTATAAATCATAAATGAGTGTAGGAGTATCATTTATTATGAGGAGTTGGGAGTAGAGGTGTAGACACGGTCCATTAAAAAATTAACCCCACTTATATGTTAATGAATTATATCAGTCTAATATTATTATTATTATTCAACGTTCCTATTGGTATGTCTGTAAAGGTTGAGAATATGATTAGCATAGTTACGTATAGTACTAGTATGGTTTGTAAAGGTTAAGAGCATGATTAGCATGATATATTATAATAGTTTTTATGGGTTGTGTCTTGTCGGTTATGATATTATATTTTATATCGAATCGAGTTAAGAATGATTCATTAATAATTATTTAAAATTTTTATCATTTTGTTAGAATTTTTTAAATTATTTCTAAAAATTAATACGTGAGATAATTTACATGGTTTGAAAAAATATCTATGTTTATAAGGAAACGGTAGAAGAATCCACTAAAAGAATTGAAAATCACTAATATTTCTTCTCTAATTTTTTTTTAAAATACATATATCACATTATCTTATATTTTTCATTTCACTATTAGATGATTTACTTATATCATGTGCTTCATCTTATGTTAGACTTTTTCATAACCTATATTTAAGTAATATACACTTTAATTTCTTTTTCTTTAAAAATTAATAGATTAAAATGAAAACAATTATAATTTCATCTACTAATAATTTAATTTTTTTTAAGTAGATTTAATTATACAATTTAATTTTCATAAATTGTTAACATAAAATACAAGAGGATAAAAGAGCTTTTATCATATTATAAAAGTAGCATAAAATATAACTTAAAGATCAGTAAACTAAATTAATTTATAATAATTATGTGTCAATATGACACAATATATAAATTCGATCGATTAATTTTTAAAACTAACAAATTTAATTAACAAAAATAAAATAACATAATTTAATTAATTTAATTTTAAATAATTATTTCAAAATTAATCGAATTAATCAAATGTATACCCATAATTTCCTTGACTTGCATATTTGTGTTTTTTAAATTTTAATTTCTCTTATTCATCTTCTTTTTCAAATAAATTTAGACTTTAAATACAAATAAAAAAGATCGTAATTTAAAAAGCAAAAGAACTTCAAATGCTGGTTGTCCGTGTTATCCTCTTTACAGTCATTTTAAAACAAATAAAAAATTGGGCATGTAATTTGTGATAATGCATGAGTTGGAGATACTTTATTTAATTAATTATTTAATTAAGTTGTAGTAACACTGTCACTCAATCACTTCGAACAGGGTTCCTAACTTCAACTGAAACCATATACACTAGATTATTTCTTTTTTATTTTTTGTTATTTTTTAAAGTAATTTGTAAAGAAAAGAAAATAGGGACAGTCCCTCGCGCTTCAATTTCTAACTAATTGTGCCGCGTTATTTTGGAAAAGTAAACTTAATGACGCGTTGACCGTAAGTGTTTTCAAAATCTCTCCCCCACCATTTCACCGTTGCGTAGAACAAGGGTTAGATCCTTCCGCCTAATTAAGCAGAAGAAAGGAAAGAGAAGCTTCATCACCACTACCACTACTAGTACTAATATCTTAATTTTTTTTCAACACCTAACCTCACTCCAAACAATAAGATTTTTTTTTTTTTTATAAAATCCCTAAAAAGATCAGTTCAAATCAAAGAATCAAAGCCAAATTTTGTTTGATGCTATCCTGTGTCTAGCTACTTTTGTCATTCTGCCGTGCGCCACACATGGGACGAGATGTAACTGGAGCAATCACCACCGCCCCTGCCGTTGTCACCACCACGGCAACCGCGACAGCCCCAGCCTACAGTGGAGGCGCGTCTGAACCTCAGTACGTTGCGGCCAAGACGTCAGTTTGGTGGGATATAGAGAACTGCCAGGTCCCCAAGAACTGCGACCCGCACGCGATCGCGCAGAACATTAGTTCTGCGCTGGTTAAGATGAACTACTGTGGGCCCGTTTCCATCTCTGCTTACGGCGACACCAATCGGATTCCTTCTTCTGTACAGCAGGCGCTTTCAAGCACCGGCATCGCCCTCAATCACGTCCCCGCCGGTAACCTAATCAAAACCCTTAACTTCCTTTTTTCTTAAAATAATAATAGTAAATCAAGCTTGAATCAGTGTTTTTTATTGTGCTAATTTTGGAATGATTAGGAGGCGTTACGATAATCTTCTACAAGTTTATTTTTTATATTTACTTTTTACTGATGCTCTGATTTAGGGTTTTAACTTTTGTTCTTCAAGTTAAAATTAGGATTTAAGATGTTATAGAAAATAAAGTTTGTGGATTTGTGGTTTATACGTGAGCAGGTGTGAAGGATGCGAGCGATAAAAAGATTCTAGTTGATATGCTGTTCTGGGCAGTAGATAATCCTGCTCCTGCAAATTATCTGTTGATTTCTGGCGATAGGGATTTTTCTAATGCCCTCCATCAGTTACGTATGAGGAGATATAACATTCTTTTGGCACAGCCTCTCAAGGCATCCGCACCCCTTGTTGCTGCAGCCAAGAGTGTATGGCTCTGGATGAGTCTTTCCGCTGGTGGTCTTCCTCTTTCAAGCGGTGAATCATCTAAACTGGCTAATGGTCACATTGGTTTTAACTTTGAAATGTTGTGTAACCCGATTCCTGAAATGGTTCAGTATAGTCAACCAATGGCTTTTAGTTCTGAAAATGTTACATTGGGGAATCAAAATGTTTTTCCCCAAAATGTTTCTAATGCTGGAAGGAATAGTGATAGCAAATATAAAGGGAAATATATCAGGAAAACCCTGAATCAGCCAAGCATATCAAGACCCTCTAGTGTGCCAACAACTACCATTCCAGAAAATGGTTACTCTTACCGGCCAGAGTATGCACAGGCAAAGCCGTTTAAGAGAGCACCGCATGAGATTTATGGTGGCAGTGAGCCAGCTGTCTCTGCAAGCAAGTCTTCTCCAAACTTCTTTCCTAGCAATTCTCACTCTTCTGGGAGTAACAATGGTAATTTCATGGGTGTTCATCAGAATCATCATCCACCTTCATTGAGGTCGAATAACCTTCCTCTTCAACCAGCTTTTGCACAAGAAAATTTTCTACCCCCTAATTCACAAAATCATGGTTTCTGCGCAATGCCTCCTAGAGTTGAGGGGTCTAGATTTCCAGCCCCACTTGCAAATATGCCTGAAATTAGTAAGTTAAACATCTCTGAACACTACACCTATGCTCAAAATCCTTCTAATTATCCTCATCGAATTGGAGAAGAGTTACAAACAAGCTCTACCAAGTCATTGCCTAATCAAGCTGACCTAAATGTACTCCAAAAGATTCATGCGTTGCACAGTGGCCAAGCAAGTCAGCATGACACTTCTAGTAATAGATATCCCCATGGTCCTGAATTTCCACCTCAATCATCTTCGGCTATTTCTAGTACTCGTAGCAATGGCATTTGGGGAGCTCAAGGACACTCACCACCTTCTGAATATATGCAAGGTCTTATTGGTGTTATCTTACTTGCATTAAACACACTCAAAATCGAAAAAATTATGCCTACTGAAGCAAACATTATTGATTGCATTCGTTATGGAGATCCAAAACACCGAAATACTGATGTAAGGAAGGCTTTGGATAGTTCAATTGAGCAACATATGGTATTGAAGCAAAGTTTAGGTGCAGTGCAGTTGTATGTTAGTAGAAATGAGAAATTATGGAAGTGTGTTAATCCTATTGGTGGGAATCCTAATCAGTACCCAAAGACAACGTGGGAAGGAGTACAAAAGTTTTTGTCATCCTCTGCTGGACGATCAGCAATGATGGCTTCTCAATGCAGGTAGTGATGCTTCATGATCTTCTTGTCTTTGTCCCTTTCTTGTTTTCCTTGTATAAATTGGTGCTAGGTTTTACTGGGTGATTCCCTTACCTTAAGTTTATTATCAACTCTGCAGATATGAGGCGGCTTTGGCTTTAAGGAAAGCATGCTTGGAAGAATTTGCTTTAGGTGATGTTCTCCAGATCTTGAATATGATAATTGCCATGAAGAAATGGATTATACATCATCAGTCAGGATGGCAACCAATTACAGTTACCCTTCCAGAGACTAAAATGGAAATGGGTACTGGAACTGCTGCTTGACATGATCAAGAGTGGTTTTTGTACTGAAAGTGGTCCTAAGGTGGTGAAAGATGGTTAGAAGTGTGTTTGGGGAATTGGGGGTAAGAAATAAGGGTCACTTTGGAAAAAATTATAATCAAGAAAACTAGTGACGAAAGTAAGTAGGAATAGATCTTTATTTTGTTATGTTTTTTAATTTTTTTTTTTTTGCTTTTCCTTTTATTATTTGCTGCAAGACTACAATGGGAAGCTGCAGAAGGGGAAAAAGGCTTATGATGAAGATGTGTTAGACTGGAAATTTTCAGGAGCAGGAGCAAAGTAATAAGTTCATTCTTTGCGTTCTAGGCCTGCTTTAAAGATTTTTTTGTGGCTGTGCTATGCGGATTTGGTATATTACAAGCAATCCCTAATATGTTTGGTCGTTGCTGGTATTGCTGAATTAATGATATGCTAAAGGCTTTCTTCTCGCCGGCACAATATGTTCAGAATTTTACCGCTTAGGATAGTGGTAATCATTTTGTTTCAGCAGATAATTCCATGTTGCTTTATCAGGTTGGGTCTAGTTTCAGCATGTATATACCATCTGCAGTATCTCGATTCATATTTTCAGACTCTTATGGAATCTTTTGAAGATGTACTGAGGCTTCCAGATCCTGTTGGACAGGTTCTTGGTCAATTGCTGCATAATGGGGCTTAATAGTTAATGGATAAGACAAAAGTAGCAAAGATTGACGCAACCATAGACGTTATCAAAGCGCTCAAATTATTTTCATCTTGGAACTTTGTTTTTGTTTGGAGGTTGCTCAGCGCTTGGCAATCAAATGCAGAACATGGGATTATGATTAGGGGGCCTTATTCCTGGCAATACGGTACCATGGCCTTAAGTATCAAGTAAAGTGAATGTATTAGCTTGAACTTTGTGTTATTTACTATGGAAATGGTTGTATCCTCGATTCCATTTAATACACACTTGAAAATGTTTTATATCTAAGTCTAACTTGGCTTGGCAATTAGCTATTTGTATTCCGGTGGATCCCATAATTGAACATGCAATTTCTGCATTAAGTCAACTCTTGCTATTTTATCAGAGCAAAATTGTTGTGTTGGTCATAAATACCATCAGTAAGGATTCTTTTTTATGTTTCAGATTTTGTTTCACTTATATCAGGTCATTTTTAACATGTCACAGTGAATAATACGAAAGAATATATGAAAATGATAATGACTGTTTAAAATTTTAATAAATTTGATAAAAATAAAAAAAAATTAAAATTTGATAAGATAATTTTTATTGTTTTAAATATATTTGACATAATATGAATATGATTCAAATATAAGAATTATTTGTCTAATTCTACGCCCCCAGAACCGGAAATTACCTTGGTAAGATTTGATCATACTGGAGCTAAGATCGTGTGGTATGACGTTGAAGTTTGAGCTCGTCCGTCATATTTTTGTTGGTATGACGTTGGCGGTTGGGTTATGCACTTTCACCATCTGTTGGGCGAGCCGTTGAATTATGGATAGATGACTTCGAGGATTAATTAAAAGGACCATTGACTTTGCAAATCAAAATTTTCTCTACGGCTGCAGGCTTGCACTCATCGTTAAGGATTTGCTTTTGAATCGTGGATAAAAAAAAACTGAAAAGATGAATAATGGAAAGAAATGAAAAGTAGAAAAATAAAAAATAATTTTTTCATTAATGTGCTTGGTTGGAAAATAAAAAAATTAAAAGAAAATATAATTTTTTTATTCATTGTTTGGTAAAGTTGAAAAAAAAAAATTTTATCATTCTAAATTTTTTAAATTTAAAATAAAAAGTTTAAAAATGATAGACAACCATGTAAATATGCAACATTTAATCATACCTCTCTTATTGTCTCTCCTATTTTCTTTCTAATTTGAAATGATTTATTTTGGTGAATAAGTGTGAAATATGATAATGTTTCATATTTTTTCTCATTTTTTTTTTATCAAGCACTTGTCTTTGTCAACAAAATAAAGAAAGTTGGCAACATTTTCTCAATCACTTTTATTTGACCTAATCAACAATTTGGTATATTATACAAAGAGAATGGTTGATATTTCCCTTGGTATTGGGATTTATAATGTTGTATGTCATAGTGTGCGTAAGAGCTGAAAAAGGTCTGTTAATGTCTAAGCGAAGATTATATCAGCCATTTGCAATGAAGCAAAAGATGCCATCCTTTCATCTAAAGACAACCTTAATGCTAAAAGTTATACCTTTTACTAAAAAATTAAACTTCCAATTATAGGTTCATTATCTTTTTGCCCAGACACAACCTTAGAAATCAAATTCTTGGATGCATTGGAATCTGTGTCATACTTATAGCACATCTAATATAGAATAATTGAAACTTGCCTGGAGAAGATGAAAACACAGACTATTTAGAGCTCATCATGCAATTGACTACCTAGTAGCATTTAATCCACCAATTAAGGACAATATGTTCTTTTAAATTTGGGGATGTGGGAAAATTTCGCAAAATTTTTGCAAAACTTTTTGAATTTCCTTGAGTTTTGCCTTGCAGTTGAACTTGACTTGTTGTTATTTGAATAATTAGTATGCTTTCTTTGATTAGTTCTTCATGAAGCCAATAATGGATAGAGATTGAGATTGAATATAGCTTTAGGAAAAGATTGAATATTGGGTGAAATGTGAGATGATGCATAGGTTTAGTGACTTTTTGAGTATGAGTTTTCATTTGTGAGTAAATACTTTGATTATTGAATTGTATTTTTTTTTATCTAATGCATGATTATGTGAACATGAAATAACTTTTTTTGCATTAGTCTTTAAAGTTTTATTTTATGTTCTAGAATTTGTTTTGATTATTTGTTGAGACAAAATCCTAGAAGACACATGATTAGGAAAATGATATAGGTCATCTTTGGATCGTTTGAGCCTTTAAGCTAACCTTGATTTAATTCTTTCATAGCCACCCCTTTTGAGCTTAATAACATGTTTCTTTATCATGAAACCACATTACAAACCTAAGCTTTTGTTCTTATATTCTTTATCTTTTAGTCCCTTTCCCTATATGCATAAAGACATTCATGCATCATCTTAGAGTTATGCATTATTAGGGAGGAAAAGTCAAGCTTAGAAAAAGAATTAAAAAAAGAAAAAAATAAAAAAAGGAATAAAAAAATAAAGAAACAAGTAAAAAATAGCTTGTATTCCACAAAAAGAAAGGAGAAGAAAAGTTGTGAAAAACAAAAGAAAAAGAAAGAATGAAAAGAAATTAAAGTGGTGTGAAAAGAGAGAAGAAAAAGAAAAGTATGCAAGAAGAAAAGTTTAGGGGTGATTCTAAATGAAAAGCTTTTACCTTTCTTTATATTGAAAACTCAACACTAAATGATCCTATATGAAAGTTATGCTTTGTTAGGGTACTTAAACCTAAAATAACTTTTATCATATCTTGCCTTAGCAATGCATTACAAGTTTATAAAGTCTTAATTGATCATTAGTCATGTGTTTATCTACATTAGTGGAAAGAGATATCAAACATATGAAATGTGATCACACTTTATTTATATTTGTTTTAGAAATTTCATATTCTACATGACATCATTTGATTTCATGCAAGGATTTAAGAGATGTATTGCTAGCATTTCAAACTATAATTAGGAAGGAACTTCACCTAGGTTGATTGTGGTAGATTGGCTTAAGTTCTTGGTCTTCCTTTAATGATATCCATTTACTTAATCCATGAGACATTATTGTTAAATGAAGCATTAGAAGTTGTGATGTTTAGCTAATTCTTGTTTTGCTTAAAGACAAGCAAAAACTTAAGTTTGGGCGGGAGTGATAATTTTGTATTTTTATAGAATTATTATAGCTTTTTAAGACATTTTATGATGAATTAGTGCTTGTTCCTAGAGAAACTGAGGCAAAAATACTCCTAATTGTGCAAATGTTCAATGTGTAGGTAAAAATATGAAAAAAGAGGACAAACAATTTTTTGAAGACAATTTGGATGCTTTTTGTTACCAAAATCATCAATTAGCCAAACCTAGTGTTGAAATTTGCTCACTTGCCAGTATTGGGAGAATTTTTTAATTTTTCTTCATTACTTCCTTTGCATATTTTAGTTTAAGTGAACTTCAATTCAAGTTTTATTCCTTATGTTTTCATTGTTTATTTTCCCTTTTTAGCTTATTAAAGTGTTTACCACTTTTATAGTAAAGTTGCATAAGCTAAATGGGAAGAGAAACATAAAAGCGATATTAGAGCCAAATTTGGAAGCTAGAATTTTTTAGAATTTTTCGTGGATAAATTAACACGTAGAAGGTTTCTTATTGCCTATATTTTGAAGAATTATTCAAGCTACAATTAGTGCCTCAAATTAGAAGAAGAATTGACCTTAGCCGTTGGATACACTAAATGGAGATCAAATGAGTTGGTGCCTCTTTTTGGATTTAAATGGAAGGCCAATGTATGATTGCTTGGTCAGCATTTTAAAAGCTCCTTATTTGTTATAATTTTGACTTTTTAGAGCTCGATGCGTCAAACAAAGAAAGCTTGAAGAGAAGAGAAAAGAATAGGAAGAGTGCAAATAAAAAGCTTATGAACTAAGCTTTAATGACATGGAAATATTTAGTTTACGTTGCATTTAAGCTAGCATTTTGGATTGATTTTATTGGTTGGAACACATCACTCTTTGAATATAAATAGGAGATTTGGGTGAAATTTAGAAGGAGCTTTATTTAAAATTTTTGCAATTTACTTTTCTTGTAACTTTTTTCTAAAAAATGTTTCATCCTTGTTCATTTAGAGGGTTATTTGGAGAGAAAATTTCTTTAATTTTCCAAAAAAATGTACATTTTTGCTCTCTAATTTTAATGCACTTTAAATATATTGCATTGCATTGCAATGCAATTTCAATTTCTTTAAATTTCTTGCACATTTACTTGAGTTTTCCTTTACTTGTTCAATATTGTTTAGCTATTTTCAATGCTACACTACTTTCAGTTTTTACATTAAAACTTTATGATTTCTTATGATTTTTGAGCTGAATTTTTTTCCAAAAACTTGTCATTCATTGCAATTTAAATCTAGAGATTTTAACATTCAAATTGGCACTACATATTTTTTTAAAAATCATCAAAATCTCAGCTGAAAATCTGGTAGTAGAAGAGGCAGTAGGTGGTGACAAGACTTATGATGGCTTTTCACCATTTTAGGTGGCTGGTTGATTATTGATCTCTTTTACAATTTTTATTTTACTTGTTTACTTCAAGTTTTATGAACCCTTGCCTTTAAATTCATGCTTGTAATTCTTATTTTTTTTTGTTCAATGCTCTATTTTCACTTTAAAGCATGTTTTCACTTCATTGAGCTTGTTTCTTTACATTTTGAGTTGATTTTTTTTTCATGTTCTCAATGTCTACATGTTAATTGATGTTACTTTAGTTTCCCTTAAGGTCATTTTAAATATTGAAATTTAGATTTAGGATTTAGGTTTTGAAAATTCAAATTTCTACTCAACTGTGTTTATGGTTTTCTTGCACTTTTATGATTCTTTTGTTTTTCTTTCATGCAATTCTCTTATGTTCATGTTAGATCTAGCTTAATACACTATTTTTACATTTCAATTGCATTTAAATTCCTTGCACTTAGCTTAGGAACATTTTAATTTCATGAACATTTACATGAGATCTCTTTATGATAGATTTGGTTTCACTCGTATTCAATTCAAAATGTTTTTGGTTTTTGTGTTTTTAAGTCCTATTCTATTTTTACAATTTTTATGCATTAGATTTCAAGTTCTAGGTTTAGATTTTAAACTCATTTTTGGTTAATTCATTTACATTCAATTTTATGCTTAAGTTTAGCATTTACATTTTCTGTTTTTACATTACATATATTTACTTATTAAGCTTAGGAGTAGTGTAATTCATTCTCTAAATCTTTCAATAAAGCTAAATATAGTGAGGGTGTATTGATATCCAATATTTAGACTAGACTTCCCAAATGATTAGTCCTTAAGAGAATGATACTTTACTTTATCACTTTATTTCTTGTACGGCTTGTGCATTTGTA